CCACGAGGGGGGGGGCTGCCTCCCCCCCCCCCCCGTCCCCCAGAAGGAACACCCCCTTTGTTCCCTCCTCTTCTGCCGGGTTTTGGGAGCGATTCCCGTTTCCTTCTGCGATTCCCGTTTCCTTCTGCTGCGTTGCCGCGGCGTTTCCCTGTTCCCTCGTCGGAGAGACGATGGGAAGGGGGGATCGACTGTCCCTGCTTCGCTCTGCCACCGGTTGGGAAACCAGATTTTCTGCCCTGCAGGATTCTGCCTTCTTTTCCCCCCTCCCTGGCTTCTTCCCTGGTCAAAACCAGGAGGGGGAACAGCCAGGAAAACTTTCACATCTCTGCTTTAACGTGGAGCAAGAGAGTCCAGCGACTGCTGCCTCCTTGCCTGTGGGCAGCGCAGGCAGCCCTGCCTGTACCCTTTCCCCTTTTGCAGGGGATGGGGGGAGGATGAAAACGCGGCTTCTGGGGTGGCACAGGCCTTTTTCCTCACTCGGCGTTTGGGAAGCTGGGTGACACGGTTCCTCTCTCTCCCCTTTGCTCAATTTCCCAAAATAAGAGTATTTGAGGTGTTGAAAAACGTTCTCCCTTCCCCTCTGCGCTGAGAAAGAAGGGTCTCTTTGATGGCGGGGGGGGTGCTTTGCCAGGAAGAGAGGAGGAGGAGGAGGAGGAGGAGGTGGTTTGGGCAAGCGGAGGGTAGCTGAAAGCAAGGAGGAAGAGCGACAGCATATGGATGCGATCGTATCGATTCGCTTTAGCTGCCTTGCCTTCCTTGCCTTCTGTTTGCTGAAATCACCCCCCCCGAAAAGGGATTTTATTCTATTTTTTTAAATTTTTTTTTTTTTTGAGCCTGCCTCGGCTGCTGACAGGCTGGAGGAGGAAAGGGGGGGGGTTCTTTCGAGCCCGTGGGGAACGGCGTCCTTCTGGAAGAAGGTGTGGGAGGTTTTGACTCTTATTTCTCAGTGTTCTTCAGTGGGGGTTGGGGAAGGATTGCAACAACAAGCGGTTCAAGAGGACGGTGGTTTTTAAGGATTGTGCGTGGTCGGCTACCGGCAGAGGATCGCATGCCTTCTCACTGGGGAGCTGTCTAGGTGTGCAGGGAGAGCCCCCCCCCCCCCCGAAACGCTGCTGCTCTGCTCTGGCATGCTGCTGGATTTTAAATGACCCGTGATGTTCCTGTCACTGAGGGCAAACACGATTTCGGCTCGCGTGGGTGCCGGGGGAGTTCGGTGCAGCCGTCGAGCTGCCGGGGCCCCGCACCCTCAGGTGCCTTCACCGCGTTTGCACCTTATCCG